TCCATACCGCAAAATCGGCCTCAGCCTGACCGATCATTGTTCTGAAATGTAAATTTTGAAAGATCCCAATATTTTCAGAAATCTAGAAGCAGCATGGCTATGTTAATTCAAGTCAATCACATTATACACAAAGAGAATTGTTGTGCTACATAACTAAACTTGAAGTCATGTTCATTTTCATTAAGATAATCAATTTTATGAATGCCAGAGAGCTTCGTCACAAATTGCATAACGCATGGAGGAGGGGGAGGTCGAGCTTGCATTACTTATCGTTTCATATGAGGCAGCTGGTTAATGCAAAAATTAACGTAAAATATTGACCAAAGAACACAAATATTAAAAAGCTAAAAAAAATACCGCTAAATAAATCCACGTGTCCCTTGTATGAAAGCTTTGGGGAGCACACATTAACCTTTAACTTCTGCAAAAGCTGCAATTCAATTAATTACATTAATTACAGGTTTAGCTATATATTTTAATTACACCCTGCCGCCCGTTAACTGCTGTTTAAATTCATTAATAATTATGATTACAGTAGTAATTTCGTAAACAAAGTCCGTGAACTACATTTTCAGTACCATAAATTACATTTCGAGTACTTTTAATTTCATCAAGTACCGCAAAATAATTTTCATTGCTTTCATTTCTAATTTAAAATGCATTAATTACATTAAGTTAATACTGCTGCTTGCATTTTAACTCCGACACACCGATATCGTGTCGCTTGAACTTTCCATGATAAAAAAATCATACTGTTAAATGTATTTTTATTTTCAAACTTGAAAAATGGGTAGGAGAATGAGTTAGCGTTTCGTAATTTTAGGTTGGGGGATCTTGTCAACCGTTACTTATTGTTACATCGGGGGAACCAGTATCCAAAATCCGGATTTTTTACGTTACGTAATTTGTGTAAATTATGTTGTTGGTGTATTAGTCCATTTGCTTAGTCGTGATGCTTTAATAAAGTAATTTTATTCGTTTCTAAAGAAAATTCTAAAGAAAGTGAAGGGGAATTTATCATCATAGGAAATCATCAATCCTAATGAGGTGTGAGACTTTACCTTTCTAGTAAACATCACAGCTCAATGATTAAAATACGAAACTGCAAGGTAAAGTTCAGCACCTCGGATTACTATTTTCTCTCATTATAGTTAGCCACTGGTAACATGGTACACTTTCATCAATATTCATAAAAAATTGAATTGCTGCTGTAATGCCATTCACTGTTGATATGAACAATATGTCAGATAAAATTCAAATGTAAATTATCAAGCTACAATGCAAGGATGAGCTCAAATCGAATTTGCATGATGTTTTCTTTGTTTGGAAGGACTGTCAAGAATGAAAACAGTGGAAAATAAGTGTCGTTCAGCATTCTCAAATGAGAACATGGAATTATCTTTATGAACTGCGATGACCGATTATGAGATCAATAAGCAACGAGTAATCAAGAAAGTTTAATTTTTGAACAACAGGAACTCATCCTGTTGTTTCCATTATTTTATTGAGTAGTTTTTTTTTAAAACTTGAATCAAAAGTCTGCAAATCCGTGAAATAAAGTGGGAAAAAATACTGATATAAAAATTTCTATTCCACCAACAGCTATACACTAAGACATTTGGCACCGCGATATAAAAAAATTGACTAGTCCTGACATAGGCGAGGGATCTCAGCATTCGAGTTATAAATATCAGACAGCAATGTGTTGAGCAAATTGAATCAATATGTATACACATCAGATTTTTTTCTTTTATTTATTTAACGTCGGTCTCTGTTCCGCAATCTAGTGCCAATCACCGATGGACATCGATTGCCACCCATTGACGGCAATCGAATGTGCAGGAAGGCAACTTCCACATCTGCGTAGGATATCGCACCCATTCAACACACATGACACATGGGGCGGGACCAACGGCTTTACTTCCCTTCCGTAGGAAGACGTGACCATAGATTTTTATGCCTCAGAAAAATCCCACCAACTTCGGCTGGAATTGAACCCAGACCCATTAGGGTGAGAAAGCAGTCACGCTTACCACTACACCACCGGCGCCGGCTAACAACACATCAGATGTATGGTTGAAAAAAAAACACTTGAAACGAGCGCGTACATTTTTATTTTGTTATTAGTAGATATAAGGGTACCATTTCCCAGGATAAGACGAATAGTGACGGGTTTTTCGACAACCACTGCATCAAATTGGACGCAACAAGCTTCAAATGATAGGTATTATGGTCACATTAATCGTAATTGAATATTGGGATCGGTCAACTGGTTCCGGAGATATGGCTGAAACAGGTTTCGGCGAGCCCAATTGACCAATAGCTTTAAAGACCCATAATGCGACACATAAAATTGCATAAGAAAATATGCTCATTCGGAATAATAGTGAACAACGGCGCCGGTGGTGTAGTGGTAAGCGTGATTACCTCTCACCCCAGCAGGCCTTGGTTCAATCCCAGTCGGCGCCGCCGGGATGTTCTGAGGCATAACATCTCTGATCACGCCTTCCTTCGGATGGGAAGTAAAGCCGTTGGTCCCCGGTTCATGAGTTGATAGGTCGATAGGTAGGGTCCAGGTGTGGGAGCTGCCTTCCTGGCACGTCGGTAGCATTGGTGCTCAGCACGGAAAACAAGATCGACGGAAAAAACAAACCAAAGGAAAAAATAAATAAATAATAATAGTGAATGGTTCCCGGACATATTCCGAATACCCCGGGGAAGTTGACATAATGATAATCACATGAGAATTCAAAAACCTTGCCATTGTTGGTTTTATTATGCACATGTTTCGCCCCTCCCTCAAAAGCAAAAAAAAATGTTTTGTTCGATGGATAAATACAGGATTTTTCTTGATTATAGCAATGAATATCACTTAAAACTTGGTCTGAAAAATATCATTTCAGTTTCAATCAAAATCACTACTGTAGAACCCCGTTAGTATGAATAGCTAAAATCGCAATTAAACGGCGCTCATATTTAATTTGTTTAACTGGAACCGCTTCACTGGTGTGTAACGCCATTGGGCACCTCTGAAGAGTACTAGTTGAACAAACTAACGGGGTTCTACCAACTGGCGGAAACTAACGATTTTATATTGGCTCACTACTTGGCTAGCCTATTGGTCCCAAACAAATCGATTAAGGTGATACTCTAAGGAAGCCTTAGCGTGAAACTTCAAAGGCACAAATGTCAGCTTCCACAAAACATACAGATTTGAAATTGCTACTCTCTGTTTGTAGTAGCACAGCAAACAAAGAGCAGCAATTTCAAATTTGTATGTTTTGTGGAAGCTGACATTTGTGCCTTTAAAGTTTCACGCTAAGGCTTCCTTAGAGTATCACCTTAACGTACCATATTCTAGTCGAGATTCTAGTACACTATGTTTGTTTTGATTCGCTATGAAAGTTTGACGGATAAAATGAGGGGTTCGTGGATTTTCCTATGTTTCGAGGGGTGCATCGATTAGCTTGGGACCGAAGATAGTACGAGAGCTGAGCCAAAAAGTTGATCACGTTTCTTCGGAACCTTCCGGTCTTAGAGTTACCTCTATGGTTCTACGGTACGCAATAAGAATAGTAGCGCTTTTGCCCAATCAAAAGTGGTCCGTCTTATCCTTGGTTTACGTTTTCATTTTATTGTATACATACTTTTATCAACAGTCACAGAAGAAGTACAGGGAAACGATACTAACTAAAATCCTTAGATTCAACGGTCACGCACAATGGATCCGTTTGCGTTGCGTTGACGTAAATTTAACAGTTTTCAAGTTATCGCTAACGCAACACAACCGGATCTATTCCCAAGTAACATTGCAAGTTTCATTAATTTCAAAATAAGATCGTGAAAAGCCACACCGAATGAAAAGTTTGTTTTGATTTATTGTTTTGACGTTTTGTAAGTTCGGGAGCTACAAGGTGTTTAAGAATGATAACAACATGTTGTTAATCTATTGTGTATGGAAAATTTACAAGAATCTTGATGATTTCATATAGAACTGACTGTGGTCCGACTTACTCCGCTTGGCACTGTGAAAGTCTACATGTATTGTATGAAATACGCGTATCTGTTAAAAGATATGCAATATAACGGAATTAAAAAGAAATTACTCAAGTCACTCAAAATCTCTTCAGACAAAATTAAAAGATATTACCCTAATCTGCCAAAGGGATGAACACCTTCAAACTTGCCGTTGCCACTCCTATTCCTCTCTCATGCGTTTAGGCCAGGTGCAAGGGTATGGGGTCATTTTAAGCAAATTCAAAGGCAGTCTTGTCGCTGTATTTCACCACAGGGTAAGTGGAAGACAAAAAATACATTTTCTTTACCCGAAAAGTAACTATACTAACAAAAAACAGCATTGTAATATTCTGAAAGTTAAGGTCCGGTTCAAATCCTGCTCTTATCGCAATTTTTCACAAAATGTTTTCTTATTTTTAAATATAAACTAAATATCAAACTCAAAAATGAACTAAAAAAGTTGATGCTTTTTCTCCAAAATAAATGTGGTTATTTGGAGACATGCTGGACCTTCAATATAATAATATTGTATAGGGGGAGCTACGGCCTTATTCGAACGAGATCACACTAGGTTTTTATAAATTGTGGCATTTCAAACGTCCTTGATTACCAACACCTTCTTCCTATATTACATGCTTGTGATTTTATAGTATCTTCAGATTACTTATTTGATTTTCTATTCTATTAAAACGTTTCTCGTACCACTTTATTATTGCATATGTATTTTACTTTGTTGTATTTTGTGGCCTTTTAGATAATGCCTAATACATTTTTTTATAAATATAATGATATAAATATAATTTTAAAACTCTCTTCGAATATATTTAACTAGTCTTTTATTTGATTATATTTTTTCAATAAAAAAAACTGTTAGCTGTTTATCACCCATCAGAAAAAACTAAAAATATAAATTGTCGGTTGTCTGTTCAGTTATTTTCTAATTATAAATAAAGCATAACGAAATCATGTTCAAACTAATTCACCTTTTTCCATTGCGGCGTCTCCGTTTCGTGGCATATACCGTTCCGAGTTGACTCATGGTGGTTGAATGTGTAATTTTCACCTTAATTCAACTTTATTTTACAATTTCCACTCAATTCACCAATTTATTCACTTATATTAGCCAAAACAATTTCCTCTCACTACTTCACCACTTCTTCATAGCTTTTGGTATGGCTATGTTACTGTATAATTCACCAAATAATGTATTCAGATACAAAACCATATAATTAAAAATCGATTGCAGAAAAATACACTTCACAATACATACATACGAAAATGTATGCCCCAGGTTGTAACTACATGTAGCTCAATGAATGCTGGGTTAGTTGAATCAATATAGAGGTGTATACGCTACCGAGAAACGCGCCGCGGAACTACATTCGTAACTAACCTGTCGAGCACCGAACGCGAACTAAAACAAGGTAAATGAAACAATGCAGTTGAACATTCATTGACCACTAAGGGTATACCCTATACAGAAACGAATAAACCGCTAGAGAAAGACAACCCTACCTGTCCATTCTACTCACATGAGCATAACTATATTCAACCGACTATATTCATACGAATGGCTAAGCCCATTTAGAATTGTCATGATAAATGAAATGAATTTTTGCGTCTCGTTTGCTCCAACATGCAACTGAGCATAGCCAACAGGTAAGAGGTAAGAAAAAGATAAGCAACGGAAATAGAAAGAGAGCAAAGCGAAATATTCGGAGAGACTTTCAAGAGAGAGAAAAGTGGGCGTTGCCCTTGCGAAAGCATTGTCGAATTGAAGGTGAAATTTTTACAAAGTATGAATGAAAACTTGGAAAGATGAAGCTGAATTTCATAGTGTTGGTGCAATCTTGCTTCTATTTCTGTGATTGGTGATCTTGAAGGGTCCAATTTGTTGTAATACACTGCATAAACAAAAACAAAAATGGGACACGCCTAGCATCGCTCAAAGATGAATGCAATAGATATGAAAATAAATTTGAAGTTTGCATTCAATGTCTGACTATAACCTTGAACAAAATAATACCATCTTTTACTGGAAACACTTTTAAACAATGTAAAGCGGCATGACATACATATATTGAAACGAAACGGCTATTTCAAGCAACTTATTCGGCACAACAAATAACTGATCACTGTGGAAAATTATCACAAGAGGAGAAACATGTTACATGGGCAGCAATTGAGTTTAAGGTGAATCGTTGTGGAAACCTTAGTTATGATTGATCGCATTATCTCGAAATTTCAAGAGCACAAATATCGACTCTCACAAAACATACAACAACGAAACTGGAACTCCGCGTTTGGCTGCAGTGCAGCAAACAAGGAGTTTCAATTTCATGGGCGTTGTTGCAACGTTTGAGATTTGTGCGCTGGAAAAATTTGACCTGAAAAATCATCCGTTCATCGAAAGTTCAATAAATACTGGTGTAGTCCCATATTTTTTTTTAATAATGCTGTTTCTTGGGTACTACTAGATTCAAGTACCAGCCCTTGTTTAGAATATCTATATATATAAAAATGAATTTCTGTCTGTCTGTCTGTCTGTCTGTCTGTCTGTCTGTCTGTCTGTCTGTCTGTCTGTCTGTCTGTCTGTCTGTCTGTCTGTCTGTCTGTCTGTCTGTCTGTCTGTCTGTCTGTCTGTCTGTCTGTCTGTCTGTCTGTCTGTCTGTCTGTCTGTCTGTCTGTCTGTCTGTCTGTCTGTCTGTCTGTCTGTCTGTCTGTCTGTCTGTCTGTCTGTCTGTCTGTCTGTCTGTCTGTCTGTCTGTCTGTCTGTCTGTCTGTCTGTCTGTCTGTCTGTCTGTCTGTCTGTCTGTCTGTCTGTCTGTCTGTCTGTCTGTCTGTCTGTCTGTCTGTCTGTCTGTCTGTCTGTCTGTCTGTCTGTCTGTCTGTCTGTCTGTCTGTCTGTCTGTCTGTCTGTCTGTCTGTCTGTCTGTCTGTCTGTCTGTCTGTCTGTCTGTCTGTCTGTCTGTCTGTCTGTCTGTCTGTCTGTCTGTCTGTCTGTCTGTCTGTCTGTCTGTCTGTCTGTCTGTCTGTCTGTCTGTCTGTCTGTCTGTCTGTCTGTCTGTCTGTCTGTCTGTCTGTCTGTCTGTCTGTCTGTCTGTCTGTCTGTCTGTCTGTCTGTCTGTCTGTCTGTCTGTCTGTCTGTCTGTCTGTCTGTCTGTCTGTCTGTCTGTCTGTCTGTCTGTCTGTCTGTCTGTCTGTCTGTCTGTCTGTCTGTCTGTCTGTCTGTCTGTCTGTCTGTCTGTCTGTCTGTCTGTCTGTCTGTCTGTCTGTCTGTCTGTCTGTCTGTCTGTCTGTCTGTCTGTCTGTCTGTCTGTCTGTCTGTCTGTCTGTCTGTCTGTCTGTCTGTCTGTCTGTCTGTCTGTCTGTCTGTCTGTCTGTCTGTCTGTCTGTCTGTCTGTCTGTCTGTCTGTCTGTCTGTCTGTCTGTCTGTCTGTCTGTCTGTCTGTCTGTCTGTCTGTCTGTCTGTCTGTCTGTCTGTCTGTCTGTCTGTCTGTCTGTCTGTCTGTCTGTCTGTCTGTCTGTCTGTCTGTCTGTCTGTCTGTCTGTCTGTCTGTCTGTCTGTCTGTCTGTCTGTCTGTCTGTCTGTCTGTCTGTCTGTCTGTCTGTCTGTCTGTCTGTCTGTCTGTCTGTCTGTCTGTCTGTCTGTCTGTCTGTCTGTCTGTCTGTCTGTCTGTCTGTCTGTCTGTCTGTCTGTCTGTCTGTCTGTCTGTCTGTCTGTCTGTCTGTCTGTCTGTCTGTCTGTCTGTCTGTCTGTCTGTCTGTCTGTCTGTCTGTCTGTCTGTCTGTCTGTCTGTCTGTCTGTCTGTCTGTCTGTCTGTCTGTCTGTCTGTCTGTCTGTCTGTCTGTCTGTCTGTCTGTCTGTCTGTCTGTCTGTCTGTCTGTCTGTCTGTCTGTCTGTCTGTCTGTCTGTCTGTCTGTCTGTCTGTCTGTCTGTCTGTCTGTCTGTCTGTCTGTCTGTCTGTCTGTCTGTCTGTCTGTCTGTCTGTCTGTCTGTCTGTCTGTCTGTCTGTCTGTCTGTCTGTCTGTCTGTCTGTCTGTCTGTCTGTCTGTCTGTCTGTCTGTCTGTCTGTCTGTCTGTCTGTCTGTCTGTCTGTCTGTCTGTCTGTCTGTCTGTCTGTCTGTCTGTCTGTCTGTCTGTCTGTCTGTCTGTCTGTCTGTCTGTCTGTCTGTCTGTCTGTCTGTCTGTCTGTCTGTCTGTCTGTCTGTCTGTCTGTCTGTCTGTCTGTCTGTCTGTCTGTCTGTCTGTCTGTCTGTCTGTCTGTCTGTCTGTCTGTCTGTCTGTCTGTCTGTCTGTCTGTCTGTCTGTCTGTCTGTCTGTCTGTCTGTCTGTCTGTCTGTCTGTCTGTCTGTCTGTCTGTCTGTCTGTCTGTCTGTCTGTCTGTCTGTCTGTCTGTCTGTCTGTCTGTCTGTCTGTCTGTCTGTCTGTCTGTCTGTCTGTCTGTCTGTCTGTCTGTCTGTCTGTCTGTCTGTCTGTCTGTCTGTCTGTCTGTCTGTCTGTCTGTCTGTCTGTCTGTCTGTCTGTCTGTCTGTCTGTCTGTCTGTCTGTCTGTCTGTCTGTCTGTCTGTCTGTCTGTCTGTCTGTCTGTCTGTCTGTCTGTCTGTCTGTCTGTCTGTCTGTCTGTCTGTCTGTCTGTCTGTCTGTCTGTCTGACCCTTATAGACTCGGAAACTACTGAACCGATTGGCGTGAAAATTTGTATACAAGGGTTTTTGGGGCCGTGGAAGGTTCTTATGATGGTTCGAGACCCCTCCCCCTTCTGTAAGGGGGGGGGGGGGCTCCCATACAAATGAAACAGAAATTTCTGCATAACTCGAGAACTAATCAAGCAAATGGAACCAAATTAGGCATGTGGGGGCGAGTGTGGGGGTATAAGGAGATAATCATAGCGGGTAGCCCCTTAGATAATAGGGGGGGGGGGGCTACGTACAATATAGCATGCTTTTTTTTTAAATCGGCGCATAAACTCAAGCTAATATTGAATCCCGAGCAAGACCGGGCACACTCAGCTAGTATATATAAACTTGAAATTAAGTTGCTTTCATTAAAAAAAAATTTGACTGTATAATGAAAACACGATATGATATTGGAGTTATGTCGCGATAATTGAAATCATAATGTGTTTTCATTATGATAGGAACTGCAAAACTTAATATCGATTTGAATTTTCTCAGGTAATGGTACATATTAAGCTCAAAATAGATTTTTCTAAGCCTTAATATGATAACCCGCATAAATCACAACCATACGGTTACCACATTGAAAATGGTTTATCTTCCTGTGAAAACCATTATGAGAATGGTTCAGTCAACTTTAATCGAACCATACCTAGGTGAAGTTTTGACCATATTGATTAAGGTTTTCGAAGACCTAACCATAGGAATAATGGGTGGTTAAGAACGTTCACCATACGAAATCTCACTTTTTCCTATACATTTTTTGCAAAGAAACTATAGCCTAACCACATCAGAAAAAGTTCAAGCTAGAAATGTGAAACCTATTTCCATTAACGTTCGAATAAGGTTGTACGTTTTAGAACCAACCATTGTTGTTAACTTCAATATATACTATGAACGGGTAGAAATGACCATACTTATTGGCGTTATAATACTGTCGTAGTTTATGTGGAATTCAGCAGATATAGTTTGTTCTTTAATTTTAATGTGATTTACAAGATTGCTTTTTGTGAATACCTCTCCCTTCACTTGGGAATTGTTTTTATTGTTCTTAATATAAACACAGCACTAAAAAAATACACCCTGCAAAACGAACCTTCATTCTATTTGAACGTGCTTCGATTTCTTGTTTGGGTTAATGTGAGCCAGAAGAATCAAAATTTCTAACCCATGTAGACCGCTGTTTTTTATCCATGATGGCTGGGATTGTCAAAGGCCCTAGATATTTTTGTAGGAAATACATGCTTTTTTAGAAATAATTTATATTTTAAGCTGGTATTACTTACGTTTTTCATTTTTCTCAACGATAAAACAGGTTTTCCATTTGGAGTAAAGTTTTAAAAATAAAACAATAAAGCAAAAAAAAAACACCGTGAACTCATGGCCGCCGTTCCAAAGAAAAGCATTTTCCTCTGTTGGTGCCAGTTGTAAAAACATAAAGCAACCATAAGCGAAACACGTAAGCATTGTACTTGTTGTATACAACTTTTATTCGTAATGTTTTGCAAAAGTTCAATATAGTTTCGTATAGTTGATCAACCGTAACAAAATGTAGCTGGAACATACCAGAAACTATAACAGTAGAAAGTAATGTTTCTTTTCTGTTTATTACATTCCATAAACCATAACAAAACAATTTTGTATAAAGTTAACACAGCTAGTAAGGTTTCAGTGAAGTTTGAACTGTTCTAGAAATGGTTGTTTTCTATGCGGGAACTAAGACATAAAAAACATTCCTAGCGTTTTTTAT